AAAGCAAAACAATCCATATTATAATGACCAACATTTTGATTGTAATGGATATTACTTTATCACAAGAGTTGGAATCACTCTAACCTAAATGGGAGACATGAGACTCAAATCATTATAGTCAAACAACAAATCATTCAACCCATAGAGAAGGATCTCCCTAGAATTCAAATCCTAGCACTAAGTCTGTTTCCCCTCCTTTTGCGCCAATCCCAGCCGGCCCAACCATCTCCCTTCCCATCCCCTTCTGTTGGGCTGAGCCTACTGGGAAAGCTCGTTGTGCCTCCCTTCTTCTCTCTCCCGCGGCCTCTAGCCTTCCCCTCCTCCTTCTCCACCCGGGCCGCAGCCCAGCTGGCCCAGCCAGACTTGGCCTCCCCAAGCTGCACGCCCGCCAACTGCTCGACAGAATATCGCCAAAGGTACCGCACGCCGCCGCCATCATAGATCCACTGGTCCGAACGCCGCAACATCGCCAGTACACGGAGAGCTGCTGGCATCATCCGCCTGCCCGCCCTGTCGCCGTTGCCAACCACCCCACAACTTCTCCCGCTGATGCCGGCCACGCCCTGCCCTGAGTCGCCGTACCGGCGTGCGCAGACAACGACGCTGGTGACGCCACGTTTGTCCCCGCCTACCTCGCCGTCCGTCCTTGCAGCTCCTGTCTCCGAGCCGACGCGCGCCACATGCGACCACCACGTCACGCCATCCTCACCATGCCGCCGTCGACCGCGAACTGGCCACGCTGCGCTACCCGCAACACTACCCCAACGGCCCAACCGCATCACGACGAGACGTGCGGCCTGCGCGACGCGTCTCGACTCGCCGCGTCAGCACCCCGCTTTGCATATCGCCGAGCCACGCCATTAGGCCGCGCAACGCCGCGCGCACACTTCGGACCATAGGATCGAGCACCGCCGCGACGTCCGAAAATCCGCGCGCGTACACGGTACACGGGAGCGGAGACGGACCGCGCCAGGGAGTCGACGTCCTCCCGGCCACCGGCCGCCCACGCGCGGTCGTCCTTCCCGTCCTCGCCGCCCGTCGCCACCAACACTACTCTACCGCCCCAACCAGTCCGTCGCCCATGCTGTCCTTGCCGCGCGCCCCGCCAGCCGCTGACGCCACGGTCGTCCTCGCCGCGTGCTCCTTGCCCCATGTCATCCTCGGACTGCCAAGGGCCAATGGCGGACTGTCACATCCGATGTTTGTATATTAATTTGGAGTAATAAAAATAGACTAACTACAAAACTAATTAAACAGATGAAGGTTAATTTACGAGACGAATCTATTAAGGCTAATTAATATATAATTAGCACATATTTACTGTAACACCACATTGTCAAATAATGGACTAATTAGTTTTAATATATTCGTCTTACAAATTAGCCTCCATTTGTGTAATTAGTTTATGTTTAATACTCTAAATTAGTGTCCAAACAACCGATATGACAGTCACTAAAGAAAGAGAGTTATAGTCCTGTATCCAAACTACCCCTACTTAGGAAAGAGAGTTCTAGTCCTTTTGGTCTAAAGAAAGTTCGGTCTTCTTAAACTGAGAATGCTGTTCAGCGATCGATCGCCCCGGGACGGGGGCAGCGATCGATTGCCCCGAGACGGGGGCAGCGATCGATCCCCTCCCCTCTCCCTCCCTCCACCTGGTTTCTTTTTTTGGCATCGCATTACTTTTCTATTTTAGTAAATTTATACACCTAAAGTTTATACACCTCAAGTTTACACATCTAAAGTTTAGAGACCAAAAGTTTATATATCCGATTCAAATTTGAATTTGAATTCAAATATTTTATTATATATAGTATTTCTATACATCTAAAGTTATACACCTAAAGTTTATAAGTCAAAAGTTTATATACCCGTTTCAAAATTGAATTTGAATTATATCCGATTCAAATTTGAATTTGAATTCAAATATTTTGGATAAACCTTATCACTAGTTAACTTCATAATGTTGTCCTAATTAACTCTACCTTAGCTGTCCTGAATTGGATCAGATCTGAGGAGTGATGTGTGTGTGTGTGTGTGTGTGAATGTGATGCCAGCTAAACCGGTCGATGAATCGATCAAGGCCGGCCGTAGTGACGGCGAACGGATCAAACGGAACAGGTATGTGAAGCCGTCAGATCTTGCCCATGACGTACATGAACACACGTACGAATATAATGGTTGCACGAGGTCTCGTCTTTTAAAGCTATGGCTCTTCTCTGCTCGCTAATTAAGCAATCGAAGCAGGAGTAATCAACTTGGGTTAATTAATTTAAGTTATACAGCTTCGTAACCTGAAGAACTCTTGTAATTATCCTCATCACCAGGCGACACCGTCCCGACATTTAGTTAATAGATCTGGATTTGCTTGATTACACCGACATTAGATCTGGATTAGTGTATGTGCGTCTATTAAAAATTTGATGAACGGATCAGAGAAGTTTTTTTAAATTTACTTGTTGTTAGGACTAATTAATTGATTGATTAATTAATTAATCAGTGGGTGCTAGGCGATGGACGTGCGTGCAATGCAGATGGTGCCAGCGAGGCAGCTGGGCTTGCTTGCTCGATCAGATCGTTGTCTCTAATTTCGAATAGATGGATTCCCTTGCCACACCGTGGTGTGACAGCTAATGGCCATTTTGTTGTCTTCATGATTTGTTAATTGCAAGTTTGTGTGCTTCTTGTTCTTGCTTACTTAACAGCTCAGATGTTGGTATATTAGCTCACGCTTAATTTCAGTTTTGTCGCATGAGCACATATTAGTAATCCTATATGTATACTTTAAATTTTGGTCAAGTTTTGGATAGATCACAGAAACATCACAGAAAGAGACAAGAGCGATTTTTTTCCAAAGTTCGGATCTTGCGATCCTACTCTCCGTTGAGGAGCTCCAAAGAGCTGGGTCTCGATTAACCCCTTGCCTCACTTGTGCAAAAACCCCAAAGAAAATCCACAGCCTTCAACCCAAACACTCCTAGGCAAATTTCTAGAATTGAGTGACCACCAAGATCCAACTCAACCTACTTCTAGAAATCCACCACAAGTGTAGGTTGCTCTACTTGGAAAACCTCTAGAATCTCAGCACAAGAACTTCATTAACTTACCTCATTCCCTTTCGGAGGAGAGGAGATCCTTCACAAACTTACCCGGGACATCCACAATATGCAACGGATTCTCGCGGGCGACACCTAACCGTCTAGGAGATCATCTCCAAGAGTAATAAGCAACGAGATGACAACCCACGAGATATTCCAAGTGCTCACCCAAGATCCGAGTCTTCACACCTCTCCAAATCTTCTTCTCTCCCTCTCAATCTCTCTTTCTCACAAGTATTAGGCTCTAGATTGAGTGGAGAAGGCAACAAACACTTGGGAGAGACTAGCAACAGCTCTAGGTTTGAAAAGTGAAAGTGGAATGGCCAAGGAATGAGCTGGAAACGAGCTGTATATGTATAACGGCTAGGTGGCGTCATCTAGCCGTTACTCACAATTTTGAACTGGAAACTAGACAGGAAGTTCCGGACCTGGAAGACAGGAAGTTCCGGACTTGCACTTTTGGGCAGAAGGAGTATATGCAAAAAAGACTCCTAGGGAAACTTGACACTTGGTTCATACTAAGAGCACTTGACATATCTCAGAGCATCACCTGGAACCCCTCTTAATAGTATGGTTTTTTTCTAAAAACTCGATTTCAAAAGATAAACTATCCTATGCACTTCTCGAGTTCCGGTCCGCTTTGATTTTGTACTTTTGGGGGGGTCTTCAAGCATCCATCTTCCACACATTTGGACTAATGCACCTGAAAGTTACTCAATGAACTCATTAGTCCCTTAACCACATTTGTCATTAATCACCAAAACCCACTAGGGGAATTAATGCACTTTCAAAATGATGAACGGTTGCTCTGTTTTGTATCTCTTATGTATTGGTTCATAGTTAAGTACTCGCTCAAGTTTTAAGTAAGGAAAGCCAAACATTATCCGAGAACCTGAGAGATGTGAGTTGCACACTGCATGTTCTAAGTCTATGATACGATATCAAGCTCACAAAAGACAAGGATTATACTCGTTCAGGCCCCTCGGAAGGTAATAGCCCACCTAATCCAGTTTATATGCGATTATGAACAGAACAATAGATTTCACAATAGAGAACAACAGAAGCAACGAGTTACCGATTAGACTGTTGTCGAGAACGACTCGACGAGATCAATCGCCGACTTGGCTTCGAGTCCTTCGGATTGCTTCTACCATGGTTGGTGGCAATGCTATGATTCGATGATCCCATACCACCTGGGGCCTTGTATTTATACCCCTAAGTGACTTAGCTTCCAAGTAGAACTCGGAGAGTACCTTACGCGTACGAGATGACATAGTCTGCTTCTCATCTGAATAGGACTCTAAAACCTTCTACTCGGGAGTCGGTTTCCTTATACATTGGCCTAATTCCTTAAGACTAAAGTAACCTTTCCATATACTTGAGAGTATACCGCATTCATATACATCGTAACCTCAAGAATAGGAGGTATGCCTTATCCATAACCCTGACAGTCATTGACTCGTAGCGATTAGGTGCTATGTTGATTGGAGAGGAGCACCCATAATCAAAGTCCGGGGATATAGGTTTGGGCTGAACCTCGTTAAGAAATATTGTGTGCTCCTATATCGTAATATGATATCTTGAGTGATCAATGACTAAAACAATCGAAAAGGTCAAGGTTAGTCCTCGTTCCCATGTATCGAATACCAAGCTTTTATAACAAAAATTGATGGCACTGAGGAGATGGCCTATATTTTAATGGGGATGGATTAAATTTTGGCTCATGCTCCAACGTTCTCTTTCGTTTGGTGGACGATCTGCCCAGACTCATTTTTTATTTTTTTTGACCACATGGGTTACTCGAAGTCTTGGTCTACGTCAATTAATTTGTTAGTCCGTACCTACAACGCAGATCTGAGGAAATGTTTCAATATGGTCCCAAATTAGCTGTTGCGCAGCTGACCTTCCCTTCTAAGTAATCTCTTTCACCCGCATGTACCCAGTGTGCAGTGCACAACTCCTGGCGTTTTCAGCAGTTGCTCCCTTCCCCCTTGTACCTCACAACAGACACATTGAGCGAGCGAGCGAGAGAGCAACAATGGCAGACCTTGTGCTTGGGTTGGCCAAAACGACGGTGGAGGGGACGGTAACCATGGCCAGGTCGGCCATGGAGGAAGAGGAGAAGCTGCACAAGACCGTGCAGCGCGATCTGTTGGTTATCTCGGACGAGTTTGAGATGATGCACTCCTTCCTTAATGATGCCAAGGGCCGCGTCACGGACAACGTGACGAGGACCTTGGTGAGGCAGGTCCGCAACACGGCCCTAGACGTGGAGGATTGCATCGAGACCATTGTTTACCTCGACAGCAAGCCGCACTGGTGGCGCCGCATGATTCTGCCTTGGTGCATGCCGTCTGCGGCACCAGGGAAGGACCTGGACGCTGCCGTTGCTAATATAGAGCAGCTCAAGGCTAGGGTCGAGGCCATGGGTCACCGGAACTTGCGTTACAACCGTATTGGTGACTCCGGTCATAAGCCTGAGGAGCAGGCGCATCAACAAGCTGTTGCCAATGCAATGGCACCGACAGATGCAGCAAAGCAGAGCCGTCAAGTGGATCTTGTCATGTTGATCAACAGGAAGGGGGGCCAAGCACGCCATATGCTAGGTGAACTCCTTTTATGTATATGAAATTTCATTATGTAACTCAATAAGACAATGACAAGTGTTAATTTTGTTCCTTACTTAATACTTCATATATTAGCACCTTTCCCTCGTTCCTATTTTATGGCTCCATCCCTAACAGCAGGCGGGGGCGGCGGCGACGAGGACGATGATGATGACGACGACAACAACAACAACGAGGACGATGATGATAATGGTGATTGTTATCATGATTGTTGTGAAGAGCAGTTGAAGGTGGAGAAAGAAGTACTCCAAGTCATCTCAGTGTGGGGAACAGGAAGCGATCTGGAGATGATGTCCATCAAGAAGGCCTACGACGACACAGAAACCATGAAAAGTTTCAACTGCCGAGCCTGGGTGAAAATGGTGCATCCTTTCCATCCCATTGAGTTCATCCGGAGCTTGCTGGCTCAGTTCCACAAAAATGTTTGTCCAGAACAAGACAACACTGTAAAAATCCTGGACTTGATGGTGGCGACAGACGACGTACTCATTGAGGAGTTCAAGCAGCAATTAAGTCAGAAGTTCCTAGTGGTCTTGGAGGACGTTACCACCATGGTTGACTGGGAGGCCGTAAGGGGCTACCTACCTGACAAGAAAAATGGCAGCTGCATCGTCGTGCACACGCGACACCATGGAATTGCATGCTCCTGCGTCGGGCATCCATACCGAGTATCGGAGCTGGAAAAGTTCTCGGCCGATTATTCAGTCCGTGTCGTTTTCAAGGAGGTACGCAGTAAATCATGATAAATTATTTCGGGAAAAGATTTACTCCCTCCTTTATTATCTTTCATTCTTCCCAATTTTTTATAATATAGAACATAGTCTGCAATCCATATTAATATTTATTATTTCAGTTCTACAATGCAACTTTGGCGCAGAATCCTAAGGCCCACGTAGTAGTATTAGGGAAAGTTCTATCGTAGAGGTGATTGTCACATCTAATGTTATTCACATCATCAACCATTTTATGAGGGGCCAGCTCATACACCACATTGTCTCGAATATACTAGCCCCAATAGGGGGGGTGAATGATACATTATGTCAGTATAAGTCAAATAATCGAAATTAGATAGATTAAAACACACCCCAACCTCAAAATCCAATGGAACACACTTATAACGGTCTATCTGACCTAATAGGGTCAGTCTAACCGCAGGTACTCTCGCGGTCTGACCGTCAGCCTAAAAATAGGCTAACAGTACTTCTGTAAAAACGTGTTTTCTCCAAAACCAACCATTGAATTGAAATTAAATTTTGATAGAATAAACTAGACAAACCAAGATACAACTCCACCGGAGGGATTTGCAAAATAATAAACGGTTTAAGAGGAAACACACTCTAAAGCCAGCTATCTCGGAATTTTAGTAAATCTGAACAAAACCTAAAACTTAAGCAAATTCGAATCTAGCAAGAACCAATCAACGAAATCTTCCAGATATGATTTACAAAATATTAAAAAGGTTTTGGATGGATTAACTTGACCAAAATCGCAGAAAAGTTAATGCCAAAACCAAATATATACATAAAACTTACGAAACCGGTAGAGATCGTCAATGCCTTGATGATTGAATATGTTCTTTATTGCTCAAGTATTGTTCACAAGGTGCAGCCACAACACCACTCACAAGTTTCACACTGTGGAAGCCACGTTAAAAAAATTTGAATAGGGTCTCACTTGCCAATTTGTGCAAAGCAGCTCTTAGACCGGTTAAATCATCTACAAGAATTCTTGAATAACAAGGAAGGAAGACTAACTTATGCACGGGCATCTTGTTTAATATTGCTTAAATTTTTATTACGGATGTTTAAGTGTGGATGATATTTTTTATGTTCTTTGACTCTATTTTAAACATGTTTTCATTAATAACTGGTTTGGGCATATTATCAGAACTGCACATCTTGAATTTATTAAAAAAAATTGTATCACAATAATGGAGTTGGTTCATATTTATTTGTATTTTGTGCGATTCTGTTTTGAAATATTTTTTGGAGTTTCCAAACTTTAAGTAACATCTTTTATTTTGTATGCTATAGATGACTTTAAGTAACATATTTTATTCTATGATATATTAATGAAAGATATTTTCTACTTAAAAATATAGCTAATAGTACTACTTCATCCAACTAAATATAGAGTTATCTTACTTGTACTCCATCTGCCACATAAATAGAAGGAGTCAAATTTTATCCCAGAACAATGGGGGAATTTATATGTAACTGGGACAAAAGTGAATTCTTTTAAAAAATACCACTGCGATAATCTCCAGAGCTCCATATTATTGTTTATATTTCGACAAATATCAATAGTTTAGCTACTGGTTTATTTTCAATATATAATATACATAATCACATGAGACGCCTTTACTAATTTAGAGAATACTTTTATTTCCCCAAACTTATTTATAATAACTAATTTGTTAGAGTATACTTATAGTCATGTCAGTGCGGTGTAAGACATACATCCATCAATTATGTCTAACATGTTGGAATTCCTTAACTATAAGGATATATATATTTATTGTGCATGGTACTAGATTGTTCATTTATTGTCAAAACTATTTGGCAAATATAAAACATACATATCTGATCATAAATCTCATGGTAGATTAATGGGTTGTATTATAGGAAGATCATTGTCGGAAAACATTTTTTTATATTTGTTTTTCACATCTATGTAACATTTATGCTGCTCACTTCTCCAATACCAATTAAATAGTTTTAAAAATTTTCAATAAACACTTTGAGAATCTTAATCTCAAACAAATTAAAACTAAATCAGATCTAATAGAAAAAACAACTAAATTGTGTTGTTTTTATTTCATTAAACATGTATATTTAAATTAGTGTTGTATATTCATAATGTTATATTTGACAACTAAAATATGATGCGAAATTATTTAAAAAATTGTCATAACATTAATTAGTATATGTCAGCCTCATTTGTTAAGATAGAAAGTTTAAAGAGAATTGATTGGATATTTCATATTTATAATATAGATATGGTTTAACCATGTGTATTTGCATACGTTTATAATTATATAGATCTTTAAATATTAAAAAAAATCCTATAGATTTGGTTTAACCATTGATTTTTTTCCAATGGTACTATGTACTTTTTTTTTTGGCTTTATATTTTCTTTATAGTAAGTCCGTGAGTAGGTTTGTTTTTTCTTCGATGAACAGTCGGTAAGCTTCATTGTTTTTTCAAGTTGCTCTTGTAAAACTTGATAGCCTAGCTATAACATGGGTACACATATACAAATTAAGCCATATAAATCATCTGACAACTAAAACTTAATATAGGATTAAGTATTTGTTGTTTTGCTTTTTTTATAAGATTTTTCAGTGCTATCTTAAATTTATTAGAGGCTTTAAGAAATCTAGTAGGAGGTTTCTATAACATGTTTAATACGCTTAAAAGTTGATATTTGTAACTATGTCCTAGAGATTAGCCATTGATGTTTTTATTTAATTACTGTTAGGGCATATGTTATCGAGTTTTTTTTCCTAATATTTAAAATTCTATCTTTTTTGTGTTACTGTGGATATTATGTTTTTTCATATTTGAAGAAAATCACATGCGCGCGTATTTAGCTATGTATGTAAATAAAGTTATATAGGATGATTAGTATTGTCTTATATATAACTTCATATACGTGCATAACTAAACTGTGCCGAAGAAAGTTGAAACTTATTACTCTACTGGGCCGGGCCGGGCCCCTGTGCAAATGGTACTCCCTACAATGCTGGTCGTTCAAGTACGTGGAGAAAATTTTGCTTTCGGTGAAAATTACCAGGATATGATGCCCCAAAATATTAGTTGAAGTAGTCATTTCAACACAGCTACACCATCCACAGAAAGGATATTTTAAGCATAAAATCAGTCCATAATGGTGCCATGCACCTAATTTGAATGCTCTGGCACCTAGAAATTTAACAGGAGCACTAGATGCTGCCACTTTCTGCGCCATTATTACTGCTGATGACGGAGTACAACGTCAACCATTCCGGGACATTTGTTAGCCAGTAAACGACCTCTGTGGGACGGAGAGAAGGGGGCGGGGGGGGGGGGGAGGAGGGTGTTATTTTCCACAAAATCAACCTGACTCGAGCGAACTGCCCTTTTTTTAATTTGCAGGATGCAGCCGGAAAAGTGGAGGGTACCGTGAACGAGGAAACTGCACATGAACGGGAGAAAAGTGGTCCATCATGTTTTGGCCGTGATACAGATCTAAGCTGGTTGCATTCGCTCACGCGTCTAGGCGGTGTGGTCTCAGTGTGGGGGATGTCTGGTGTTGGCAAATCATTTCTCATCCGCCAATTCTTCAATAATTACATGCGCCAATCCTCAAAAAATACAGTGACTAGAAATCCTTATTATGACAAGAAGAAGTTTGGTTGGGTGGATGTACCCCGTCCCCGTCCATTCGATTTAAGGGACTTATCGAAGAGCTTGCATTCGGAATTGAATCCTGCTTTCAAAGACGAGGTGATGTCCACGATCAAAGATCCGATTCAACAGTGCCGTGAATATCTGCAGAGAGAAGAAAACTGGCCCTACCTCATTGTTATCGACGGTTTGCAATCCAAAGAAGAATGGGACTCCATAAGACGTAACATGGATTTCAAATTTAATACCAGTTCCGGCAAATCAAACAGGTCTGGGGAAAAAGTGGGCAACGTTGTCATAATAATTACAAATGAAGAGAGTGTTGCCAATTACTGTGCAACAAAGAACAATAACGTGTGGAACGTCAAAGGTCTAGAAGTTACCGGAGCCATTAAACTCTTCGATCAGGTATATATATATATATATGATAACTCTCAATAAGCATTTCACTGTTCTACAACTAAATTCCATCAAATGAACCAACGCAACGCCTCAAAGAAATTTCACATCTCACGTGCAAGTTTTTCCTTGTTTAATTTAGCCTTTTTTTTTTTGCAAAATACCAGTACAGACACATGCTCACACGCACACACAGTTACCCCTATGAATACATGTGCCTCGCTATCGACGAGTATATCATGTACCACTTAAAGAATAGTGCCGGTTAAAACCTAGAATAAATCTAAGAAAATGCGAGTACATACGACTCAAACTAGGATGGCAGGCTCCACCGCAAGAAAACTAATCAGCTTAGTTACACTCGGTTCGCCTTGTTAATTTAAATTCATTGACCATTAATTACATACATTAGTAATACTAATTTACCAACCCATGCTCTTACAGAGATATTATCTTTCATTTATTCGTATCACAACACAATACTTAGATATTTGTTAATATTTATCTGGTTAAAATATATGTCTCTTCATCCCCATTCATAGTTTTCCCCTTTGCATTGCGCCTCCATGTGCGTATTCGATATGTGTTTAGTTGAAACCTTAGCTTGTGTTGTATCTCTAATATGGAAATCAATATTGTTAATCATTTCTTACATACACGTGTACATGTTCTGCATGGTGACATACCTTATGCATATATATATGTCTTGAGTTTTTTTTTATATTCCCTACGTAAAAAAAGAAGTCTTTTTTAGTTTTGTCCTAAGTCACCTTTTATAAGTTTAGAAAAAATCTATGGCAAAACATATCAATTTTTATAATATCAAATAGGTATATTATAAAAATATATTTCATGATGAAACTAATGATACTTATTGGATATCATAAATATTGATATTTTTTTATAAAGTTGGTCAAACATGAGAAAGTTTGACTAGGACAAAATGACTTGCCTCTTGGGATGGAGGAAGTATATATAACAGTGACAAAATTCGATAATTTAAAAGCATATATAGGACTTTTTCAACAATGATAGAGATAGGTAATTTCTATGCAAATTTAGAGGTTACTTTAGATTTTTCTTTTCATAATGGCATACGTCACTAATTTGGATAAAGATTTACGTGTTATTTTCATAGTGGTAGAGGTGGGGTAATTTAGATGAAGATTTCAAGGGTTACTTTAGTTTATTCTTCATAAGGGAAGATGTGGGTAAGTTTGATATAAATGCATATGGGTTTACTTTAGACTATTTTTTTACAATAGCAAACGTGGGTAATTTTTTTAAAAAACAAAATAATTCCAATGGCTATTATAGTCATTGATGATGAATTGGTGGCCTGATGTTTCTGGATTTTTTTTTTCGATATTTTCTAAGATTCATTTCTTTTTCTAGTGTGTCCTTACGTGGAGGCTCCAAAAAAATTATCTATTATTAAATTCCACACTAGCATATGCCTTGATAGGAATAGGGAAATAGATACACCTCTTTTGATCTTGAACCCTAAGGGCGATCCAGTGTAGATACTATATACACTATAGGAAAAAGGCATTGGTGCCGGTTGGGAACATCACAGGTGCTGGATTTCCCAGCAGGCGGAACCGATTATAGAACTGACACCTATATACAGTAATATATATATATATGCTGGATTTAGCCAAGAACCGTCACCTATAGGGATGAATGAGAAAAAAAAAGGCCCGGCTTGGCAGAGCCGAGCAAAGGCTATAATAAATCAAAGAAACCAAATCAAACGGACCGAGGTCTTCAGCAATCAAACTCAAAATCGACCAAAAACTTTCACGTTGGTCTAGATTTGGAGGTTGGCGATGATGAAGTCGGTCAGGAAGGTGGAGATGGCGTGAATGCCACCGACCTTGGAGGCAACGAGGATGACATAGCGCGGGAGCTCGGCGGGGAAGAAGGCCTTGACGTCGAACTGCCGGTTGAGGCCGAGCTCGGAGCGGGTGCGGACGACCATGTTGGTGTAGCCGAGGAAAAGGAGGCGTCGGAGGATGGTGGAGCCGACGAGGCCGCAGTGGCTGGCCACGAAGACCTTGGCACCCTTGTTGGCGAGGAAGGAGGTGTGTGGACCCGCAAAAAGGAGGAGCAGGGAAGGTAAGAGGAAGGATGGAAAGGGAGAGGAGGAGCATCGATGGGCTTACTGGCGGTAGCGGGGAGCGTGGTGCGACGGAGTCGGCGTGCGGAGCCCGCCGCCTTCCCTCCTGCCGGATTTGGCGGAGTGGAGGGCGACGCCACCGCCGTCGTCGGGTAGGTAGCCTTCCGCCTCCCCTCCCGCCTGATCTGGCGGAGGGGAGGACGCCGTCACCGTTGTCATGCTATCGCGCCGCCATCACTCTCGCATGGATCCCTCGGTCAGGAGAGTGAGAGTGGGAGAGAGGAAGCGCAACAGAGGCAGGTGGGGGGAGACGATGGTAGGTGCAGGTGTGAGGCAACGGTGTGGAGGAGGAGAGAGGAGGGAGGAGGGGACGGGAGTGAGGCAACAGTGTAGAGGATGACGAGTAGATAAGGTTCGGTTCGGCTCGATCGGCTCCTATCGGTTCTTTTAACAGATGTTTGTTTTTCTTAAAAAAAACTGCACCTATAATATAAAGACATTGGTTCTTGAAAAAAGAGACCTACAATATATAATATATTGTAGGTGTCGATTTTTCTAAAAAGAACCGACATGAATACTATGTGTACCGGTTTTTATATAGATCCTACTCCTATCTCTTCACAAAGGTGTCGGTTTTTATCGCTGGCGCTTACATGGGCGGGAAAACACTATAGGTACCGAGTTTAGCTATTCCAGTACGTATAGTGCCAACACTTTTGTGCATTTCTATAGTCTATAGTAGTGTATATATCAAGTAAATTCCATACTTATCCATATCATATGAACATCACTCTAGACACTGCTTTTTCCGATGCATCATCTATATCCATATATAGCCCAAGTAACTAATAGTATTTGCTCAAGTTTCTTCTCTCCACCAACCCTATTTTTTCTCCATCTATATTGCAAAACACCACACCTCGCACAATGCACTACTGGAGAAACCATCTTTCGCGGGTCGGCCAAATTCCACAATAGTCCCGGTTCTTTAAAAAACCGGGGCTAAAAAGCATTTTAGTCCCGGTTTGCTACCCGGGACTAAGGGATTACAAACCGGGCTATAAAGGGTTTGTGTAGCAGTGATACAAAACTTGGTAGAGTGAACTGAATTTTTGCATGTGACACGGTTTCTTCCTCTGTCCACTCTCTCTGTCTCATTTAATACACCACCTATAGCTAAAAAAGAGTCCAGAAAAGCTAGTGGGCATCAACTATACACATAGTATCGATTGACATGGAAGGGAAGTCAATTTCTTTTATGGCGCAGAAGGAAAATGTATACCACCTATGCTTCATCATACTTGTTTTAGAGTCGGGCGTATGAATTAATGAGATAGATAAAATGACCATCTTGCCCTCAATTAATAATCTTCTCCATAGTGTGTTAGCATGAAAAAGAGGTTACTATTTGATAATGCAGTTTATGGTGGGACTGAAAAAAAAAAGCCAAACTTACCTATAAGATGACGAACAAATAAGTATTTTTTTAATATTATGGAAAACATTGAAACAATAATTTTTTAAACTAGAGGGGCCAATATTATGTTAGAGTTTGTATCGAATATATGTACAAAATCGGTTAGACTTGAAATTGTACTAGGTATATGATGAATAGATGGGTGGAATTGTTATAACCGCTTGGTGACTTAATATAGGCGAAAGGTAGTGGCTACTAGCGGCACGGCGTCCAGCCAAGGTCATTGCAACTCTGATACGTTGTAATATGCTGGATCAGGTGGAGCGCCATAATTAGTGCTCCAGGGATGTAGTTTTTGGTTGAACCTCGTAACAAATATAGTGTATCGGTGTCGTCATCGTGTTTGGATCTTCTATAATGTTTCTTTTGCGTTTGATTTTTTATGGTGATTTCAGACCGGTTTCGTAACATATTCAGTGGAATAAAATGAATTCTCTTGGTAAAATAAACAGAGACCATGCTAGGTTGCTTTTAAGTAAAAACAGATACAGTACAATGTTTATGAAGTACATCCTCTGATCCCAATTGTAACTCCATATAACTTTATCTCAAATGTACAATATATAAGTCCATGACAACTCCAATACAGCATTTCACCTCATTAATCTTCCATGTCTGCCCATATTTAAAGGGTTTATTTAAATGCACCCTAATCAATGTAACGAACTTGGTAGCTATTTTAACTATCTAGCCAGTATCTATATTCTATAACTATCTAGCCAGTATCTAACCTTCAACTTTTCTAGCTCTCTCTGGAACCATTTTGATGTGAAATGTTGACATTTTACAGGAAGGTTTAATCAATTCTAATCAAATCCTTTATACACCCCATAATTTTGTGCTACTGTATATGCATTAAAGACTGACATTTTTTTAGAAAAAGGGAGTAAAAGTTTTGTAATAGTACTAGCCTTTGAACCATGCTCTTGTAAAGGGATAGTGATTTTAAGAGCAATAAGTGTTAGAAACTCATGAATAAATATGGGCTCCACACCCAATCAAAAATATTTATCTTTACTCACTCACTCTCTCTCTCTCTCTCTCTCTCTCTCCCCCCTATTTGTTCATATTCTAAAAACAACCCATATTCTTATGTTTTTCCGGTTGTGATAGACTTTATTAGTTTCCAATTAATATGTATGATTTTCCATTATCATCCATAGTTTGTTTCCTTTCCACCGCATCTCCATGCCATGTGTTTAGCTTAAACGTTAGCTTGAGCTATGTTTTTGACATGAAAATCGATATGCTCACCTCTTAATGGTCTATATATAGGGTGAAACACATCATGCTTGTATACCTTGAACTATCTTTTTCTATATTAATAATAGCAAAAGTGGGTAACTAGAACCATACAAAGGAGTACCTTGAGATAGTTTTTATAATGACAAAGGAAGTTAATTATTTGATTCAAATTTAGTGGTTACTTTATAATTTTTAGAAATATTTATGTTTTTTAGTAATGGCGGTGGGGAAATTTAGATTCAAATATAGAGGGTTATTTTAGATTATTTTCCATAGTGACATTGGTGGGTAAGTAGATGAAAGATAGAGGGTTACTTAATGTTATCTTTCATATATGTGTGTGTGTGTCAAAGGTCGATAATTTAGATATAAGATTTAGGATGTTACTTTAAACTATTTTAATAGTGACTGATCATATCGATTGCAGGATATTTTTTTGGTTTTGCTAGCTAGCTGAAAACTGTCATTTTTTTGGCCATTAATTCCGCGCTAAGATTTGCACCGAGATATTTTGCTATCGGATCTAAACCCTCTTTTCACAAGCTAGTCTTACCATCTTATGTTTATGGCAGATTTGTTTATGTTATATTCTAGTTACTATAGTTACATTGTAACTACATTGTTTACAATGTAACTATAGTGTAACTACACTATAACTATATTGTTATATCTATATAAATTAGATATAAAATTGTATATATTATTTTAATACATATATACAAGTTATTATTATTATTATTATTGTATAGTTATAGTGAAATTATATACTATAGTCAGATTTGAAAGTTTATTCTAAAAAAACTTGCGATAGTTTTTTAGCTAATCCCTATTTTTTTGGGAAAAAAAGAAAAATAGATCTAATGATCAATGGTGAATAGAGTCTACCGAATTTATAGCCGGATGTTTCTATTTTTGTGAGAATTACTAGTATTTATATTCTTTTTGTAATGTCTCTCGTGAGAATCAACGTGTAATCTCCAAGGCTCCAATTAGTAATAGTAAAATATTATGATTTGCTTTTTCTAGAGACTATGGTTTTTCTTTTGAAGGCACATTTCTGGGTTATGCTTATATTGTCGTTTGAACAACAGGTAGCAGCTAATCAGCGGCAGCGCTTGTGGCCCTGGGACTGGGAGTCGGAGGAGAATAAGATGTTGGAAATAAAGCATCGGAATGATGAAACAAGGCATATCTTATTGCAGAAATGCGGTGGGCTTCCCAAGGTTATTTGTGCTGTAGCTGAGTCATTGAGCATGGTTGGCGACATAAAAGAAGAGGATAACCTTGTGTCGAAGTTAGCGGCAACACGAAGTCTAGATGACGTGTTTTCCTGGTTGCTTTCCTACTTTCGTTCTTGTCCGGATTCCCTGAAGCCATGTATCTTGTACCTGTCAATCTTCCCTGTGAACCACACCATCCGGCGGAGGCGTTTGGTGAGGCGGTGGATAGCGGAGGGATACTTTAGAGACAACAAAGAAAGCACCGCAGAGGAGAATGGGGAGGGGTCCTTTTCCAAGCTCATCGATCTAAGCATGATCCAGGCGCCAAGAACAAGAGTTGATGGCAGGAGGAGGATGCCCTTGTGCCAAGTCAATGGTTTCGTCCGTGAATACATCGTCTCACAGTTAGTGGAAGAGAATCTTGTCTTTGAACTGGAGGGCCATTGCAGAAAGAACATACAGCGCACAGGACGGCACCTTGCCATAGACAATAGTTGGGACAGAGACAGAAATGTGTTTGAGAGCATCGACCTTTCATTGCTACGGTCTTTGACTGTGTTTGGTAAGTGGGAAACATTCATCATCTCTGACAACATGAAGTTGCTCCGGGTGTTGGATCTGGAGGACGTGTCTTCAGGTGTTACAAATGTTGATGTCGAGAAGATGGTGAAGCTGCTGCCCCGCCTCAAGTTCCTCTCCCTGAGAAGGTGCAAACAAATCACTCGCCTGCCGGATTCCTTGGGAGATCTAAAGCAGCTCCAAACTCTGGATATCAGGCATACATCTGTAATCAAGCTACCAAAGAGCATCATCAAGCTAGAGAAGCTGCAGTACGTTCGTGCTGGTACCGCAAAGCATCAGCAAGCTAGTGAAGCAGCAGAGAACCCTTCTATGGCAGCAGCACCTGCGATGATGAGCAGACCATGTATTGCTACTCCAGGATCCCGCTTCTCAAAGTTGGGCTTGGGCTTACACTGCAGGCATGGCTCTCATAGTGGCGTCAAGGTACCTAGAGGGATTGGGAAGCTTTCCAGCTTGCACACGCTGGGTGTTGTTAACATCCAAGCGTGCGGCGAGGATGGCATTCTGGAGGATCTCAAGAACCTTACCCAACTGCACAAGCTTGGAGTGTCTGGCATTAACCGTAAGAACAGCGAGAAGTTATTTTCAGTCATCTTACGTCTCGCCCATCTGGAATCCTTGTCACTGAAAATGCAGGCCAACCAAGACAATGAAGCTGCTGGTTGCATGGCCGACATCTCGTCGCCCCTGGAGAAGCTACAGAGCCTTAAATTGTACGGGTTAGTTGACAGGTTGCCGTCATGGATCATGCAGATGTGCTTGCAGCTTCCTCGACTTGAGAAATTGGATTTACAGATGAAAACGTTGCCTCAGCAGGAGCTGGATTTTATTCTTACTCTAAAATATCTAAGAAGTCTACGTCTTCGGTTGGCGGAGTTTCAAGATGGTGAACTCCGTTTTGGTTGGACTATTGCTCAGAGGTCTACTAGTTGGATTATCGACATCCTCGAGATTGTGTGCAACTCCAGCTTACAGGCTGTAAAGTTTGGCTCCAAAATACACGTTAAAATCCTGAAGATTCGCTGCTATAGTGTGTCTTCATCACTACAATTCTCTGGTCTAGAGAGCATGGAAACTCTCAAGGAAGTCTGGCTTAGCGGATCTTACGAACTAGGCTTCAAGCAACAGTTGGAAACAGAGCTTAAAGGCAACGAAAACGAACCTATTCTGGAGCTGGAGAAACCATCATCGTCAACCTAATGGGTACTGAGCAGCTCCTGATTGTGTATGCCGCTTCTATCGGTCCGGCCAGGCGTGTTTTGTCCGAGACGTGGTGGGTGCTGTCCGGCCGTTTCCCCCCTTCTTTTGGTCGTCTGCTGCTCTTTTCCAACTTACAGTCATAAGTATGTGTACTCGTGTCTGTTTATTTGGACAACTAGCATGGTGGTTCGTGCAGATTGCGTAGGTAGCATCGTTATATTTTTTTTCTTATATAATAGTTGAAATATTTTTATATTTCATTATTGAAATATAATAAAAATAGCAACACAATTTTGAATTTTGTATTGTATTGATAGTTATTAATTATTTTCTAATTTCAAATTTTACTTATTTCTAAATTGTATTCCTATGTGGACTCTATACTCTTTTCCCAATCATGCTTATTTATAAAATTTAAATTTTAGTCATTTAAAAATTGTATTTCTATATGGACTCTAAATTCTTCTTCTATTTTTTTATTTTTTTAAGTTCTAAATTCCTATATGAATCCTATATTCTTCTTCCAATATTCCTTCTTTTTAATTCCAAAATAAAATATATTCTTATATAGGCTCTATACTCTTCTTCCAATATTACTTATTTTTTAATTTTGAATTTAATTTATTTCTAAATTGTATTTTTATATGGACTATAAACTCTACTTTTTTTCCTTAACTAGAAAAGATGCCCATACGTTGTAACAGGTAGAGCCAATTTAATTTGTACGTACGTGTCGGTGGATAAATAATCACAGCCCATTGTTTCGTTTATTCACTAGCAAATATGCTTGTGCGTTGCACCGGGTGAATATTAAACAAATATGGATGGTTAAGATTGCTTGTGTATTTATAACACATATGCAAAAAATATTAAAGTTATACGTACATACCTCGTAAATATCTCCAAATTATATATATATATATATATATATATATATATATTAGGATATTTTATGTAATTTCCTTATAGATAAGTTTGGGCAAAAGCATGCCGCAAAGGCTTATGGTATCTTAGAGTTTGTTAGAGATAAGAGTCGTGTCTGACAAGGACATAGTGTGTATCTTGGGTATAAATATGACCCGAACCTATGTAATCAAACAACACACGTTCAATACAATCTCGGCGCATCGCCACCCTTTTACTTTCATTTACTTTCGACGAGTTCTTGCTTTTGGGTTGAGCTGCATTGGTTCCGATATTCAACTAGAGGTAAAACTTGTTATGGTGGCTTGCATTGTCGAGATTAGTGCTTCCATCTTTATGATACTCTAATCTTGTTTATGTAATTCGTCGAGTTATCATATATCTTATATAATCTTTAACAATATTGCTATTTAACCTTCAATCGGCCAACATCTATCATTGGAAGGCAGCCGATTAGGTTAAATATCAATGTTGATTTAGATTATATAAAATATCCACCATCCTATGAAACATTCAACAGCTTGGTTGTCTAGATATTAATTGTCCTTCTTTTCATACTTATAGCTGCATCAGTTAGGTTTGATCTTATAAGTCGTGATTAGAATCTCAATCTCTAGCCTGCTTTTTTGGTTACCGATTAGGGTTTCATCGGAGTTTCAGCCGATCTTACCTGATTTAACTACTTTATATCCTATGTGCTTGACTGATATGTTAAATCTGCCATTTATGTTAAGATCTTGTCGCATCTAGGTATATTAAGCTTCCTGTTTGATATGTTTTGTCTACTTTAATATCTTAATATAGAGTGGTATCGAAGTATTAGCCGATACATGCTGAATCTATCTGATCGGCTATGCTATAAATGCTTATAATCTCCTTGTTAATATATATTTCGATCGAAGTGATTTATACTGTCTCGGCATGGCGACCGATCTATCCCAATCACTTGATTTAAGTATATATCGACGGAAGTATTATACATCATTAATATCTTCAGCCGATCGAATAGGTTTAGTCCTTTCTTGCCTATTTATGACTGCCGATCGAATTAAATATGATATCGGCTCAAAGATAAATGATACGTCATCGGCGATAGGCCGATCGGCTATCATTTATGGATTTAACCGATATTTTTCTATCTTTGTTTCTTGTTGATTGCAGGATCAAATCAACTGGCATGCTCATGAACCTAAAGGCAAGATTTTTGGACCTACACTGAAGTTAAGCAGATCTTCCAGGCCTCGTGTTTTTCGCATCAACACTATTTATCTCGGTATTGATATCATAATATGTCATAACTACCAAAAAAACACAAATATATATCGGCACTATAGGTGCCAAAATAGCTAAAACCGATACCTAAACACTAAGTGACTATAAGTGTTGATTCTACAGAATAACTGACACCTATACGATAAGCGCCGATTTTCTAACACCTATAATATAAAATTTATGTCGGATAATTAAAAACTGACATGGTTTTTAATCAACTGCAACTATCAAACGAGCTGAGCCAAGAGAGAGCCGGGGCACGACCCCGCGAGTGGATAAACGCATCCTTATCCACTTGACCCCTCCTCTCACCCGTCCTGCTCTCTCCCTCTTGGTCACTACTCACTCCCTCTCCTCCCCTCTCGTCCCTGCCCCCTCTCCCTATCGTTTCTCCATTGCCACAGCAGAGAAGGTGGCGGTGATGGCATCAGTGGCTCCCGCGGGCCGGATCCGGCGATGGCAGTGGCGTCGGCGGCTCCCGCTGGCGAATCCGGCGGCGGCGGTGTTTCTGGCAGGTGGATCTAGCGGTTCTCTACCCCCTCGTCCTCACCCTCCGTGCCCAAGCTTCTCCCGCGGCTGCAGCGGTGGCATCGGCGCTCCTGCAGGCAGATCCGGCGGAGGTGGCGGCGACGGTGTTTCCAGTGGGTGTATCTAGCGGTCCTCTACCCCCTCCTTCTCTGCCGCAAGCTTCTCTCGCAGATCAGGCGGCGGCGGCGGCTTCTACCTTCGATCCATTGGCGACGGCGATGTCAGCGAGCAGGCGGATCTGGCCGAGGGGACCTGCCCGCCGCCGCCGACGTCCCCTCGGGCGGATCTGCTGGTGTTGTTGATTAGCTTCTGGAAGGTTCTCAAAGATGTTGTCCTGCCTGTCGGCATGGCTGGTGAACCTGCGACGCAACCCGCTGGCCCGTCTCCACATGAACGTCGTCGCCTCCCACCTCCACAAATACGGTTAGCTGCCTCCCTTCGAATTCCGCCGCTAGGGTTAGGGTTAGGGTTTGCCGGGATCTGATCAGGGTTTTGGTGTGGGCAGGGCTCCGGTACGATGATCTGTTCGATGCCTACCAGTACCATGGCCTCGACATCAAGGAGGCCCTGGCGCGGCTGCCGCGGGAGGTGGTGGACGCCCACAACCAGCGGCTCAAGCGCACCATGGACCTCTCCACGAAGCACCAGTACCTCCCCGCCGATGAGCAGGTGAAGAAGATTTCGCATCCTTGATGTTTTTGGTTCAATCCCCACATTTCGTATGTATGTGCGCGACCTGTGGAAGTAGTAGAATTGTTTTTTTTTTTCCATTTGAGTTGTGAATATGGATATGAGTATGGTCAATTATGCTTGCTCCGTGACTCGGTGACCTAGGAATTAGAAGGATTGCTACTTGAGAGACAATTAGTGGATAGAATGGGCGGTGGACAATCAATTTGATGCTTGTGATAGGGAATGAAACTGTTACTAAATGATGCTATGGCACTGTTAGTTTTGTCCTCATGCTGATACATTTGCTCGTGTCTCCTTGTTAGGTCTATTTTGTCGAGATCGTTTGGTCAATTTGCTTCAATTGACCTATTATCCGTTGTAGTTTCCGGGATGTACTTGATTTCTTTGTTCCTATCCTGTGTCCAGAATATAGTGAGCTTCCATTTGAAGCTATAAGACCTGTAATCCTATCTTACTATAAAGTTTTCACCACTAACTTCTTAAGCTTAACATGTAAAGATGCCACATCATCATCACTAACAAGATGCCACATCATCATCCACTAATTAACAAGATACCACGTCATCATTCACTAACAATCATCACATTTAAACATCATGCCAGCATGCTATATCTTTATAGTTTTTATAATTTAAGAGCTTTTCAAATACAAACATGTGAAATTATCATCCAACATAATTCACATAATGTTTCAATGTATATCTTTATTATGTTTTATGATATCCTATATACTTATATAGTTCATCCTCACTTAGTTAATGCTTAAATGATTAATCTATGGTCCAAATTATCTTTCTCTTTTTTTTCTCTAATTAAGTCGTATCATATCAATTGTTTTTAGCTTTTAAATGATTAATCTACGGTCCAAACTATCTCCCTACTTTTCTTCTTCCATAAAATCATACCATCTTACTTTTTACGTTTGAATCACCATTCTACATACTATTTAAATTTGAATTATCATAAACCATATTAATTTACTTAATCTGATGTTATCTAGCTATCTTACACGTTATTTTTTTTATTGTTATCATACTAAATTCCCGCAGCAATGCGTGGGGTTTCACCTAGTTCAATGAATCGTAGAATGCATTAGTATCAGTTCTCCACATTCATCACACTTTGTTTTTTGACATTCTTTTAAGTACGTACCGTCTGATCAGTTATTTAAAAGGACCTCTCTCCATGTCTCATATATTGTGATTTGTGACACCATTAATTTTCATTTTTTTTGGCAGGCGATGCAGACAACATTAAGAGGCTATTTATCTGGTAAATGTCCTTCTGTTATCAGCTTACTTTTCTTGTTACTTGAGCCATGAATCACATTACTTGGGAGTTGGCAGTTGGTACTATACATATTGAGATAAATTGACTGCAGCTTATGACAATGTTTTTTTAGCAGCCACTTTACTTGATCAATTGTTTCTAATATATTGATTTCAAAGATCAAACTTTATGTATTTTTACCAATATACCAAAAAATATCTACATCTATTACTGTATGAAAAAACTTAGATTTGCTGTTTTAAGATTGGCTTTCAGTACATCTACATCTATTCACCGCTGATACTGTGTCATTGGCTGTAGAACCACATCAAATTCTAGTACAAATTTACAACTGATGTTGGTGATTGTCCAGAGAAACAGTCTATTGTTACTGGTACATCAAGCCAGAATGCCAGATGGTGCCACACCAACATCTAGCTTGGAAGATAAATCCGTCAATAAACATTACATATAGTTAGGCTAGATTCAAATATGTTAATGTCATACTCTTCCAATCAGTATAACATGAACTACTACTGAATCAAGATCAATTTCTGTTGCATCCATGTGTGATCACAGAGTTTTAGAAAATATTCAGCACTACAAATGGAAGATGACATTCAGATCTGTTAATTTCTTTGGCTATCTCTGAACCTAACAAGTTATGCTGATTTCAACAGATGCCTACCTATCCAGCCACCGTGTTTGGCGAGAACGACGGCGATGGGATAAGCCTACTACTTTATTTCAAGCTATCTGGCAGTTTTGACAAGGAAATTTCTCCTCAACTAAAACAATCAATCAAGGTATATTCAGGTTGATTGCATTTTCATCTCACCCTTTTTCAGTGCCCCTTGGCCAAATTGCTGATGGCTACTTCGTTATAATACAGAAGCATGGTTTGCTAGCTAGACCTATTGTATATCCTTTGCTGGTATTATATTAGATGATGGAAAGGTGAACTACTACTAAATCAAGATCAATTTCTGTTGCATTCATGTGTGACCACAGATATTCAGTACTACAAATGAATGATGACATTCAGATCTTTTAATTTCTTTGGTTATCTCTGAATCTAACAACTTCTACTGATTTCAGCAGATGCCTACCTATCCAGCCACCTTGTTTGGCGAGAACGACGGAGATGGGGAAGCCTACTGCTTTATTTCAGCTATCTGACAGTTTTGACAAGGAAATTCCTCCTCAACTAAAACAATCTATGAAGGTATATTCAGATTGCTTGCATTTTCTTCTCACCCTTTTTCAGTGCCCCTTGGCCAAACTGCTGATGGCTACTTTGTTATACTACAGAAGATTGGTTTGTTAGACCTACTGTTTATCCTTTGTTGGTATATTAGATTAGATGATGGAAGGGTCTTTCTTAGGCTCGGTACAATGGGACCTGTACTAAGTAAGTTACGATACATGAACTGGCAGAGATGGTACTGTGTTGGCGCTCTATTCAAGTTCCACATACTTTGGTACTTAACCCAGGAAATCAATATAACATGGTGCTTCAAAAAAATTGCAGATTAATCAATATAACATGGTGCTTCAAAAAAATTGCAGATTAGATCAATTCATTAATTTCATGCTACTATGATATGATGTCATATTAACTTTGTTACCTAGAATTTCTTGAATTATATAAATCTAATGATATTGTTATAGCTGTGATTGGAACTCAGAAACTTCAACTACCAAGACAAGAATGGTTAGTAATGTCGCATTCCTCTAAATGTTTTTTTGTTGGGAGTTTATGCAAACTGCTTAGAATATTTGATGTTGTCCTTCCAAATCATTACACAAATGCATCAAAATATGTTCTGTCTTTGTTGATGGTTGCTGATGAACTTATGGCCCTGAGAATACTTACAAATGCATTTTGTATGTTCAGGCATTGTGAATTTGTGATCCCCAATACAATTGAAGTTGTTCACGGAGCTGTTCTTGGCACGATGGCTTCTTTGGTGATGGAGCAGAACTCTTTGAATGTTTTTTTTATCACACCACAATAACAAATTTTATTTGTGGTACCAGTTTTGTTTGTATATATATAGGATAGGATGTGTGCAGCGTTCTTGTTGTGTTTGGATGTAATATGGCGGGGGAGTTCCTATGGTGTTTGAAGAGCGATCTGGGTGGGAATCGGAGTAGGAAAAAAAACCCGCTACGGATGCGATCTCAGAGAAGAAAACCGTGCGGGGGAGTCGGACAAAAAAAAAGCGTGCGCTAAAAATACCGGTGGAGTCGGAAAAAAACCGCACGTTCAAAAACCGTGCAAAAAAAACCGAGCGAAATTTTTGGGGAGTCGGACAAATAAAACCGCACGTTAAAAAACCGTGCGAAAAAAACCGAGCGAAATTTTTGGGGAGTCGGACAAATAAAACCGCACATTAAAAAAACCGGGCACTATTTCCAAATTGGGGGTGACTTACGAAATTTTCTGGCAAACACACGTTAAACTTTTATAATAGGTAAATATAAAGATGTGCTTATCCAAATCACTTATTGTCGATGTTTGATGTCACGATTCCGTTATTAGCATAGTATGGGGATCGTTGGTACTAGGATATATGCGAGACTGAGGTAAAAGAGACAGAGACGAGCATTTTTATATAGGTTTGGGCCCTTGAATTGTCAGGTAATAACCCTACATCCTGTTGGCCAAAGCCGGTATTGCTCTTATTCATCATAATCACACCAGTACAATATTTGGGGTAGCCTATATAACTGTTGTCGACATGGCGGTCTGAAGGTCTGACTCGTAGTTGACAACAGGGTAGTCTTTCTGTCTTTCTCCTCGAGTTTGTGCCCGGCAAGATCAGAGACAGCGCTAGATCCCTACGGCTGGCCTATGTAGGTGCCAGATAGGGTCGATCCAAGCGTATCTCTGATGTCGATATCCGGCGGTTTGTCTTGGCGTATGTTGGCTTTAATGTCGATCTGGTGTCTTGATCTATCTTCCGTGTCATCTATGGTGGGTGTGTTGATTGTTCCCTCTCCTCCTATCTTGTGTCTTGATCTATGTTCCGTGTCATCTATGGTGGGTGTGTTGATTGTTCCCTCTCCTCCTAGGGGGTCTTATATTTATACCCATAGGTGTCCCCTTGTCCAAGTAGAACTAGGGAAACCAATATGGATACAATCCGAGTAGTCCTTGTCGTTTCCATGTAGAACTCTAGTCGTCTTTCCTTATCCGGAACTCCTCCAATATCCGCAGGTTGTTTCCGTATAGGACATAGTAAGTGGTGGGTCCTGCCGAGATTTAGTCGACTACTATTAGGTATGTGGTATCCATAACCCTAACACTTATTACCAAATAAAAGACTATTTGTGTGCAAATCTTTTTTTATACATGTTCTTAGTGACTCAAAAGCAAATGCTGTAAAAATAAAGTACAATAAAAAAACCAAATAGTCGAATTCAAATTTAAGTTCTAAAATTTAAAATTTGGCTTATAGGAATAAGCATAAGCCAAACAATGAGACCTTTAAACACGAGTTCGATTTGTCGTCAAGCTTAATCTCAAGTCGGGCAAGAATTGATGACGGACAAAATCAGCAACTTCGATTATCCTTTATTTCAGTTGGCATGTTCTTTTCGAAAGTAAAACTAATTCTTGTGGATTATTGTAACTGTATCCCTAATTCTAGTACATACGAGTATGTAATAGTATGTGTGGAGATTGACTTGAAATCATGCACATCATGCACATGTTCCAGGAATCACGTCGTGTAATACGAATAGAATCAGATGATTTGGGCAATGACGTACATGATATCCACATGGACTCTGCGAGTTTCATTTGCTTGGTATCCGTATCACACAGACTCTCTTTCGCAGTTCACTCGCAAGTCATGACTTTGCAATGAATGTTGCACACGACGGGAATCGGATACACACGACGTACCATAGTTTTGACAACATCTTCAATTTTAAATCGTGACAACATCTTCAATTTTAAATCGCGGGCAAGGGCAGTGCAGCCCCAATCGGACATGCAGCAAGGGCAAATCGCGTGTGCGAGGACGTTGCGGGCCCAATCGCAGTGGCGCGAGCGCATGTGGAAAATGGATTCAGGTGGGGCCCAATTGCCGCGCGTGAAAAGGTGCAGGCCCAATTAATTTGATAGTGGGGTACTCTAACGTTACAAATAAAAGAAAGAATTTGACAGAACATAAAATTAAAACCGATTCAAATAAGGTTGGCATACCAAAATTCTGACGAAAACATCTTCAATTTTTTATAATAGCAGAGATTTTGGCTTTCAGTTTGTTCTAAATTCATATATGTACTCTACACTCTTCTTTCAATATTCCTATTTTTTAATTCCAAATTTCCGTTATTTCTAATTGTATTTCTATATTTTTTAACTCCGAATTTCAGTTTTTTCTAAATAATAATCTATATGGGCTATAGAATCTTCTTCCAATATTTCTTATTTTTTAATTCTAATTTTAGTTATTTTAAATTGTATTTCTATGGGGACTCTAACTTCTACTTTTAGTTTTCTTTTTTTAATTCCAAAGTTTAATTAGCTCTAAATTGTATACTTGTATGAACTCTGATCTCCTCTTTCTATACTCCCTATTTTTAATTCCGAATTTTTGTTATTTTTAAATTGTATTTATATAAGGACTCTACTTTTCTATTTTTCTTTTTCCCTAATTAATGTGAAAATTTTTTGGCCGTGAGAGTGAATGCGGAGGCTTCTTTTTCTACTTTTAAATTGTATTTCTATATAGACTTTGTTTTTCTTTTTCTCCTATTAATATAAGAATTTCTAGGCTATAAGAGCGAACGTGGAAACTCCTTTTTTCTATTACTTTAATAAGTTAATAGATTATTGTATTTCAGAATGGAAGATTGATACTTGCTACAATTTGTTGCTTGGGTGCAGTTATTGGGCAATTAATGCCGATTTTTTTTAATCTAAACACATGCAGCCCTTTTATTACGTATTTGAGTACACCAGATTCACTAGTAATTTGCCCGTGCTAACGCTACGGTGACATTTAATAACGTAATTCAAGCAACCTGCTAACACTATGGTGACATTTAATAACACAATTCAAACAACCAAAAATATATACAAGACTATATTGCATAGTTATAAGATCAAGCAAAAATTAAAAAAACTATCACTATATAAATAAGTCAATCTGTTCTGTACAATCTGTTGTACGCACATAAACAAGTCCAAAGTAGGTAGTTCTGTACAATATATAAATACTATGCAGGTAATAACTATCACTATCTTTGACCAGTAGTGAAACACATATTGTTTGCTACAGATCAATAACAAGGCAACATATTGCATACACACCATCACAGTTCGATTATCATCGATCCATTAAAGCAGTCATGGTCAGTGCAAGGCTAGTTTTCTGTAACTCAAGACATTTTGATCTTCAGAATATGTTTGCACGGCCTCATAAATAAAGGAGAAGGCATATTCACAAATCTTGAAATACAAAGGAGGTAAACGAAATTTAATTTGTTCTATGACAATAATCTGAAATCTATAACACTCTAAGTATGACATCCAACAATTATACGAGTAGATAGTCACAACTTAAACCTTGAAGCCGAAACCCTTCATTTTGCTTGTCATCGTCCAATGATATGAAGAGATTCCTTTTGCTTGTCATCTTATCCTGCGAAGGAAGTGAAAAACATGTTTGCTCCATTGTACCCGATGCACAGAGAACAATTTTGGATCATAGCAACTACAGTTATGTTTGCTCCAAGTTTATCCTTGTCAATGCAAACATAGTGTATTTACTTACCAACAAAGATTGTTTCTTCTTTGATTTCATATTGACAAACAGATCCCTTGAAAGCTTGCTATTTGAAGAGGATATATGCCTCGGTCCATTCTTAAACAGTGAATAAATCGTAAGGGTAGCATATATAAAAGGCTATAAATTTGTCATAATTTTATTCTTTTGTCTCTATATGATTCATGAATTTGAAGATATGATTATCCATTGCACTATCCAATACTCTGTGAATCGCATTTGACGATCCAATACTCATGTGTTCCCAGTTGAGTAAACACATGATAGTTCTGTATATACAGGCATGTTAGGCCTCAATGCATGGTAGGTCTGAAATTAGTATAACGGCAGAAAAAATGACAAAACATTAGTTTGACAATTAGCCTATAAAGACGACTTCTCTAACCCAACAATTAAGAGTTACTACAAAGCTTTTGTTGAGGTAAATATCCTCTGCATGAAATGACTGACAAGTAGTACTTGCATTATACACATAACATAATTTGAACATAATTCCGTTCCACAGCCAAGATGTGGAGGCTGCATCAGGCTCTCCTTCGCCGCATCTCGCCGCTTAAGCATCCAGCGGGCTGGCCTGCTAGGGGGATCAGATGCTACTACGCCACCGAGCCGAAGGGCAGGAAGCCAAAGACGGCTCCTTTGCAGGTAATCTATCATGGCAAATCCCTCCCTTTTGAGTAATGAATGCAGGTCATTGCCGAAATACGTGTCTCTTACCTTGAGAGTTTTGGCGACGAGTTGTATATTTGTACGAAATATTTCCGTCAGGATATAGACAGTGAGAACAACGGACTGAACACATTATTTACCACTGCAGCTCAACAGCATAATAAGAATTTCTCATAAGCAAGCTATCGTTTTGTCTGAATTACTACTTTCTTATACATATTCCATAGAGATGCTTTGATTTTCAGTGGATTTTAACTTTTTTTTAATCGTCCCAACTACACTTGTGGGAAATAACAAACTTGCATTATGTAAAAGTTTGACAATCGGAATATACTGAAAGGCACCCATTCTTTGGGGTTTCAAGAAATCCATGTCATCAGACGGATATAGTAAGAAACATCCATACTGAAATTTGCAGTCAAGGGGCATGGTGGATAGGTTCCGTTTGCGTGCCAAAGGTGGTGATGGCGGCAATGGCTGCACCAGTCTTCCTCGCTCCAGGTCAGGATCGCCAAGGCAAGCCTGATGGTTTAACGACTCCCCTGCTGCACAGCCCATGGAATTGTCACATGGTGCTAGCAGTAATCTTTTTGTGTATTTGTTTGTGGTGTAATAATGCCTGGTCGTGATCAACATTAGCCTAGCTCTTAGTGAAAAGGAGTAAGATCTAGGCTAACTTCCTTCCCCCATCTCACAGATTGCTAATTGCTTACAAAATAAAAATCAGCAGCAGCACCTAAGTAGAGTAAACTATCAGATGCCCTATTTTTCCACATAATGCATAACATTAAATTTATTTCTTTCTGAATAGTCTCCATATCACAATGAATGCATTGGACAATATGTCGGTATTTAATCAATCTAAATATCAGTTGGCCCTAACACATTGGCCTAACTTAACACTTACCTATGATGAGATCGGATGACGAGTGATTGACGACGACCTGATGGCTGCGCGGTGGAGACAGGACGGCAAGCGATCCGATGGCGGAACGCGGTCAGCGCGAGGGTGCGCCGGCGGCATCTATCTGAGGTGGGAATCGACGGCGGCGCGATGGCGACCGGATGGAGAACGGACGGCGATGGGATCGAGAAATCCGGATGGACAACGGACGGCGATGGAGAGAGGGGCGGAGCGCGGCGGGGAGAGAGGGGCGGCTGGGGTCGGCGGCGACGTGAATCGCGGCGGGGGCGGCGTGATGGTGGAGATCGGTGGCGGGCTGGCGGCGCGTGAGAGGGAGAGAAGAGAGATTAGGGCTGGGGAGGCGTGGGCTGGGATGGGGGAGGGGGTGCGGTTGAGAGGTGCGAGGTGGAGAGGATCTGAGCGTTGGATTTTACACAGATATGATCCGAACCGTTCCACGAGGAATGAAAAACTAAGCGATGAGTGAAACTATTTGTTTAACTATAAGGTAGATAATTCTATTTCTAAACATGTACATGCACAGGACAACGTCAATTTCTCAATCTAATGCAGTAATGCCTAACAAAATAAATGGACCTTTTGCAACCTTGTTTCTAGCAATAACATCCACAAGTTAGTAGCACGGTAATGTAAACTCATTTATTTGTGAAATAATAGCAATTTTTTAGGTCTATTAGCTTGCTATATTCAGATTATACTTAAAAAAAAGTGTAACAATGATTTGTAAAAGCAAAATAACATATTTTGAACCATACTTAATAAATATGTCAAACATTAATACAAAGTAACAAAACTCAATCCAATGGCCTATTATTTTGTTGGACATTATGTTATGGAACAACGCATGCACTTGAGCATCTTGTCTACGGATTGAATTATGGATTTGGCGTGCTTATATTTGGAATTAAACTGATACATGTGCTTACATGTAAAAAAATCGGCAATTAATGTCTCCATTTTACTATGACTGTAATCTTGTTTGTCCAATGTCAGATCATTCGGTGCTCAAAGACGCTTGGCCTCGAGGGCTACAGGAGGTGGGGCCAGTAACGGAAATTTTAGTACGACGCAAAATAGGGTAGTGCAAATTTGGCTGTAGATACACTAATGCATAAATGATTTTTATAGACAAGACCTTTTGTAGATGGTAGACAGAACTGGTCATGTTTACAAAAAATCGACCTCCCATTTTTACATACGGCTTCTTAAAAGGACCACACGTAAAAATTGATTCTCGCATTCTGTTCGCATGCAAAAATAAACCTATTTTTATATGCAGAACCTTAACGATCTGCCTAAAGTCAAGTTACCTCTTCTTTTCCCTCCTCAAACACTTCAAAATTTTTCATTCTTATCCTCTCTCACTTACTCTCCTCATTATTTCAACCTTATTAATCCTCTCCCCTCTCTCTCTCAGCTCATCTCCTATCACACTGAGAGGGCGGTGCCACGGCTTTAGTGACTCACCGCATGGTGGCGGCAGCAGGAGGCACCTCGGCGGACGCCATGATCGACGGGAAGCACCTTGGGCGCGGGGTGGCGGCGAGTACCTCGGCGGAAGGCGGCGGCCGGATCTGCCTTCGCTGGCCCCGCAACGGCCGGATCCGCAAGCACCGGCCCCGCGACCGCCGACGACTTCATCGGGCGCTCGAGTAGCAGCGGGCGTGGCGGGCGGTGCCTCGGGCGCAGGGCAGCGTTGAGCGGCTCGGCGGACGATGGTGACCAGATCCGCCTTCGCCATGCCCGCGACGACCAGATCCGCAGGCGCCGGCTTGATCCGCCGGCGTCGGCGCTGCGACCACCGGACCCGCATCGCTGCCGCCGTGATTATAGGCTGGGTTTTGTTTTTTTTATTTTATTTTTCCTGGATTTTTATTTTTACGTGCGGATGCGCTACCTTTACATATAAATCAGATTTTTGCAGATCATTTGGGTCAGCCTTCCACACTTAAAAATAGGTTTTGGGCCGGCTGGAAATTTTTTTTTTACGAGTGGTATTACAATGGATATCTGCATCTTCAGATAGGTAGAAACTAAATGAATATTGTGTGCGCAAGAACAGCAGTTAAATATATTAACCGCCGACTGTTACAGTTGGCACCGCAAGATCGAGGAGTTGACGACAGTAGCCTCCTCGACATCAACGTGAAGGTCATGTGGTAACCTCAATAAATGAGAATTGGTTGGCGGCGCCAAAAAAAGATGCAACTCGCAACAGGCACAGCATTGGGGAGCATGCATGCGCTCTGCGTCAACGGATGCGGCATCCTTGTTGCTGTGTTTCCCTGCCATATCTCAACTCCTAATTGGTTGGGGCTTTTCTGGTAGGCCTCCATTGTACTCCTTTTTACGTCTACCGTGTTAACGGCCGTTCTGTGTCACATCAGAATTAAGGTGGAAACAACGCAATTTAGGACATTAACAGAAAAATGGTGGCAAACCTTTAATTGGTGGCGGGAAGAAATAACTGAGTTCGGAGACCTTGATGAATCCAAGGATCAATCTTGGATGATACATCGGCGCCAACATTCAGAAACTATGATGAATCCAAGGATCCAACCGATGGCCTAGGAAGAAATCAATTAGAAGATGTAAGATCTATTTGTTCTCCTTTACACTTGTTAAATTATTTGCATCTAAGTTGAATTGTCTAATTGGACAACTCTCATAATTCCAATCAAGTGTATGTGCATCGGAACCACTGAAATGGCAATTTTATTAATATTCTTTTTATTGTTTTCATTTTTATGGGTAATATTACCACCCAATAAAATTAGGATCAAGGAAAAAATGAAACTTCTGATGCAACCAAATCTATGGAAGACAAGGTGCCAAAGGTCGGAATGAAATTTAACTCTGAACAAGAAGCTTATGACTTCTATAATGCTTATGCTGGTGAAAAAGGTTTCAACATTAGAAGAAGCAGCTATCGATCATGTGGGAAATACCAAAATTATTAAAAACAAGACATTTTGTTGTTCTTATCAAGGTATTTTCTTCATTTTTTAGTAGTTACATTAACGTTCAATCAGAGTTATTTTATTTCAGTTAGTTCATTGAAATAATAGGTACTAGAGGTATTGATAAAAGAGCAGAAGCTGCAGGCTATGGTGATAGTTTTAGTAAGCCAGAAACTCAATGCAAGTGTCAAGCATGTATGAAGATAAGTCTCATAGATGGATTATATTCTGTCTACCACTTTGTGCCTGAACATAGTCATAATCTTGCAACAAAAAGCCAGGCTCATCAGTTAAGATCACAAAGGAAGATAAATGAAGCTCAGGTTGCAAGTGTTGAAGTCGCAAAATCTGTAGGCATTTCTACTAAAGAAGCCATTGATTTGATGGCAAAACAAGCATGTGGATTTGAGAATCTCGGCTTTACTAGTGTTGACATGAAGAACAAGTTATACTCAAAGAGATCACTGCAGACAAAACAAGGTGATGCAGGAGGAGTTTTGGAATATATGGAGAAGAAAGCATCAGAAGATGTAAGTTTTTCTATTCTATTCAAGTTGACGAGGATGATTTAATAACAAACATTTTCTGGGCCGACTCTAAAATGGTTTCTGACTATGAAGATTTTGGTGATGTTGTTTGCTTTGACACAAAATATAGAAAATTGGATGATGGACGTCCTTTTGGTTTGCTAGCTTGTAGGAGTGAATAATCATAAGAAGACTACTGTTTTTGGTGCTGCGCTTCTATAGGATGAGGCTGCTAATAGTTTTGTTTGGTTATTTAATACTTTTCTAAATGTTATGTCAGGGAAGAAGCAAAAACAATTTTGACAAATGAAGATGCAGCCATGGCTAAAGCAATCAAAATAGTATTTCAAGGAACTCATCATCGGATATCTGTGTGGCATATGAATCAGAATGCTGACTTCCAGAACTGCATATATGACGGTGGGGGCTTCCCCTACCGTGGTTCTTTCAAAAAAAAAGAAGAGGAAGAAGAATTTATATATGTATGGAACCAACTACTTGACAAATATGAGCTGCAGCAAAATACATGGTTGCGACGGCTTTTTGATAAAAGGCACCAATGGGCACTAGTATATGGGCGAAACACATTTTCTGCTGATACGAGTACCACACAAAGAAATGAAAGCTTGAATAATCAATTAAAAGGTTACATTAGTGTAAAGTATGACATGCTTACTTTTTTTGAGCACTTTGACAGATTGGTGGGAGATAAGAGAAATGAGGAGGTGATTTCAAAGCAACACATACTACACCAAAGCTAAAGGCAGAGTTGAGAATACTGAGAGATATGGCAGAAGTTTATACTCTAGCAGTCTTAAGATATTTGCGGAAGAAGTAATGCAGTCTTTGAATTGTGACATATTCTACTGCGGTGATGTTGATGCAGAAAATAAAGGTTAGTGGAAAGAATCATGAACATGTTAAATTCTCACCGTTGGAATCTACTGTTAAGTGCAGTTGCAAGAAGTTTGAATTCGTCGGCATCCTGTGCTCTCATGCATTGAAAATACTTGACATCAACAATATCAAATCAGTTTCGCAATAGTATATATTAAAAAGATGGACAATTGATGCAAAAGTACTACGTGTAAGTGGAAGTAGCAATATGCATGATGATCCTAGAATTAAGTTATCAGATCGGTACTCCTCATTGTGCAAAATGTTTGTTAAAATAGCTTGTCGAGTTGCAAAATCTGAAGAAACATACTCCATGTCAACTAATTGTGCTGAAAAATTGGCAGAAGATATAGAGAACTTCTTGAAAATTAGAGGTGATCCAGATTTAGACAGCTCCCCTTCCCCACAAGGTTTGTTTTTTCTATACAATAATTATTAGTCATATGACAATATGAATTATCCAAGTCTAAACTTTCTCTATTTTAGTTGCAAAAGGAAATCAGATCATGGCTAGTAAACCAAAAGGCATTGAGCTCAAGAGAAAGGAAATTTGTGGTTCAGCTAGACCTATTGGTGGCTTAGAGAAATCATCTCAGAACGGGAAAAAGAAGAAGAATGATGACTCCCCAGCCGAGGTAGTAGAACTTCAACCTGTGACAGAGATGCAGCCACAGCCATATGCTACAGTACTGGTATATTGCTCACATAATTTATCTCCAAAATTTTATGCTCTTGGGTTTCATGACTGACCTTTCTTACGCTTATTTTTCTTGTCCTAGGGTAATCTAGAGGTTCCCAATGACCAAGCATTTTTACATGTATCACAGTCAGCGTTCTAATTAGCGGGCTATAGCGGTTTTGCCGAGCAACAGCTAGGAGAAGTCAATTTTGCAGCTAAGCTTCGCGGGCCGCTATTAGCTGTATTTAGCCCGACATAGCCGCTAAACGGGCTGAATGAGCGGTCGCTAAATGGGCTAAAAATGAAGCCTGCTTCTCTAACTCTAACCCTAACTCTCTCTCTCTCTCTCTCTCTCTCTCCCGATCTCGCCTAAGAGGAGAAGAACCGGCGGCGGAGGCAACTGCGCGGCGACGGAAGCGAGCAACGGCGGCCGCCGGTCCCCATCCCTGCTCCTCCGTCCTCCCCTCATGCAGCGACAGTGGATCTAACCCGCGGCGGCGGTGGCGGCTTTCGTGCTGCTGCTCCCCTGCTGCCGGCGGCGGCCACGGTTGCTGCTACTCCCCTGCGCCGGCGCAGCGGTGGCTGCTGCTCCCATGCGACGTCGGCTACCGCGGCTGGTGCTCCCCTGCGGTGCCGGCGGCTGCAGCTGCTGCTTCTGCTCCCTTGTGGCACTGGTTGCGGTCGCTGCTCCCCAACAGAGCCGGTGGCTGCTGCTGCTCGTTCTTCTCCGAGCAGCAGCGATGGCTCTCTATTCCCTGAGAAGCGGCAGCAGCTCCTTCTTCCCCAATCGAGCAACACCACTCTGCTCTAATGACAGATAAGATTATTTCTCAAATCGCAATGCACTTTATTTATTTCTCAAATCGCAATGCACTTTATCTGGACTTGGAAAGAACGAGAGCAATTTTGTTGTCGTTGTTGTTCGTCACTTTATCAGGCTTAATATGAATAATCTAAATTGTTGATGAATTGTTATGTGTATCTGTGAAATAATGTGTCAAAATTTAGTCTACATGCTGTCAAAATTTTCAACTTTTTTTTAAACCGCTAAATGGCTTAGCTGCCGCTATAGCCCGCTATAGCTTCTCTTAGCTGTTGGAGAGTCCAACCACTAAGAGGCTTAGCCCGCTATTTAGAACCTTGATCACAGTACTATGCTGCTTTGGATGCATCAACTTCAAATCCTATTCGTGTCTCAAATGACTCTAGAAAATCAAGGGTTGCACCAGCAAGGGAGGTCAATTCAACAATTTGACACTCATTTATACAATCTGTTCAATTAATCTAGTTACAGTATCTTGTCTCAATGTAGTATTCATTTCTATTTTGCACAGAAACATTTTATTTTCAATTTACTGAAATATACACTTCAGTGATCTAGTTTACTTATAGTTCACATGTGGAGCCCCACTATTGTTCTACTCGTTTGCAGTATGCAACTTTTCCAAAAGTAATGTGTTTTTTGGTTAGATCTACAATAGGTGACATGCAAATGAGCATTGAAATATGCAGAAATCCTCTTCAGCCCAAATAAAATACTACTATCTGAAACATCCATAGCATTCGCAGGTTGTAACAAAATGAATAGATCTAGAGAAAAAATAGGCATGCAACAACAAAGGATGGATTCCTTACCGAATATCCAAGCTCATGCACTTGATGCAGCTAGATCACAAGCAGTGGTATGCTCGCGTGTGGCGACGCTTGTGCTCCTCCTGTTGACCACAAGCAGCGGAATCCAGCGGTGTGACCGCGCGCGGCGCTTGTTTTCGCCACAAGCAGCTCAATGAGGCTTGGTTGATGGAGAAGGTTGGGAATTTTTTATTCGTTTTGCTTATACTAGCTCAGGTGCTAAGGCCCTGTTTAGATTTCAATTTTTTCTTCAAACTTTCAACTTTTCCGTTACATCGAACTTTCATACACACAAACTTTCAACTTTTCCGTCACACCGTTTCAATTTCTTTAAACTTCCAATTTTATCGTGAAACTAAACAAAGCCTAAATAGACTAGAGAAAAGCCGAGTAGAATTATTAGAGAGAGAAAAGTGAGACTTAACGCTGTTTGCGTGGAAAACGAAAGGGTCATTAACGCCGTAAATATTAAAAAGGAGCGCAAGGCATAGAGGCCCACCAGAAAAACTCCAACCAATTAGGACCTGACATATGGCGGAACAGGAAAGGAAACACAACACAGTAACAGGGAAGCCGCATCAAAAAAACAAGCGCACGAAATGAGCTTTAAAATTCATATCAAGTATGCATATCATGGCATTGGCGCGTATGTAGGGGGTAGTCCTGGTGGGCTCGGGACTACCCCAGAATTTGGCCCAGGGAGCCCCACCCCCCGAATTTGGAAGGGGTCTGTACAACAGACATTTCCATGCGCAGTGACCATAGATAACAGAATTTTGGTAGAGATAACCTAACATCATAATAAAAGCTATATATAAGGTGCTGGGGCTCGCCAATGCTGTGTGTCCTGCATATAGTCCAATGGAATAATTAAGTGGGTCAGTAATGATCGGTATGTAAATAAACAAGATGATATCATGTTAACTATGAAGTCACCGAAACCTGATACATAACACTATAACAATAGTAATTATACATGGTTGTGCAAAATAACGGTTGCACAAAAGTGATGATACATGGAACTGATCTGAGAACAACATGTCGATCCAAAGTAGATGAAGTAGTTGTGCCATGAAATCAATAGGATCGACGAAAGAGATAGCCAAGTTGCACAGCTGATGAACTAAGCTGGTGGAGAACATTTCTGGAAACATAGAGCAAGTATGAGAATACAAGCATGCCATTACAAATTATATCTCCTTTCTCGATAATCCTAAACTGGCAAAACACAACTCGAATATTGTACGAACAGTAAATAGAAATTCTATTAGTGGTCCATGATACAGGTTATAGGCAAGCTAAAAAAAATGCCAACCTGAAGTGGGCATCCCAAAGTGCGTTCTGTTTAGTTTAGGACTTCAGGGAGCAGGATAAAATTAAACTCATGAGCTTCTGAACTAAAGAATTTTTTTTTTCATTTTCATAGAATGTAAAGAGGATCGAGAAACAATCGTCCAAAAGGTGCTTTCACGAAAGCCGGTCTACGGGGGTAAAGTTCTGAGTTGTTTAGATGTTTACAGGAAATCCATGAGAAAAACTACTACAGCTTTGTATCAAGCAATCAGGTTCCAGTCATTGGTAATGTCAGGGAGCTTGTACGTTGTCACACTCCCCGCTCCCCAAAGGTGCCTATAGGATGGTCTCGCATTGCTGTTGAAATTTGGAAAGGGTGCTGGAAATGGTGGGTAGCAATCAAACAGCTAGAAAGGCATTCATTAGAAGGAAACATGTTATAAATCAACTATAGCTAAAAAATGTTATGCATAACTAATTTGTATCTTGGTTAATAAAAAAAAATCACATGCTGTAAAATGTGAGGCAAGATAAATAAGACATGACACTAGCTTTCCTTTTTGAAACTGGATAAATCTAAAAGAAATAGAAGTCTAAAATATTGATGTCGAGAGAGATGCAAGAAGAAATAAACCTGATCCTTGATTTGATAACGTGTTGGGTACATCTGGACAACTACGAAATTTGTAGCATAGGAATAAAATGACCTATTCGAGTGGAAAGTGCTCAAACAGCTTTAGTTAAGTGGCCTATCACAAGCATTAAAAAATTACACTTTCATGTAAAAGCATATGTTTAATTGTTTAAAACTGTCAAACAGCTTCATAATTAATTCCATAACAGGCCATAACTTTGATCCAAATTATGACACAACCAAGAACACATATAGTGAAACTAGAAAAGGACAGTCTAATTTGGTTGCAGTACCTCTCGGCCAATTTCGCTAGCCGAGATAATGGACCTGAAGGTGCTACATCCTCATCATCTTCCTTCTCTTATATAAAAGCAGTACAAATGAGGCATGACACAAATCATCTTTTATTAACATTTCTGAGGATCATGAAGAAATAAAGTTCATAAACAATTTTCAGATAAGTAAATAATTGTCATTATCTAAAGCATGGCATTGCGTGCTTAACAATCACATATTTATGCAAACATTTTTGATAGAATGAAACATAACTTTCATTCTTTTTTTCAGGAAAACATAACTTCCATTCTTCAGGGGCAAGCAAATAGACAGGGTACCTCAATTAGGGAAAAATAAATAAATAAACTGTAACTGTGAATTGGAGGAAAAGAATCACAGGGTTTTCTAACATCTGCTTCTAATGTGTATTCCAAATCACAAAAATGTCCGGAAGTATTTGGCCTAAACGAAATGCATGAATATTAGTGCTATGTACAGATGAATCTGATCTAAGTTCATCAGCAAGCACCAATTAGCCCAACAGGATCCGGAAATGACTATAGGATGGATATATGCTTGATTTCACAGAAAGAAAGGGCTGATAAATTAGTTCTCTACTCACATATCTGTCTGCATGATACTAATGAATACACAATGTGAATATAGCAGGGCTAATGATCCAGTCCCCTTTTTTTTTTCAAAATCAATTATTAGAAGATAGAATCAGATTATGAGATTGTGACCTCTAAATAACAAATACTGGTACCTTCCTGCAAGAGTCACACTTATGTGTCATTTTTTTATGAATAAAACTATAATCTCGCAGATGCTATCAGTCACTTTGGCCCTCCTGATCCTGCACACAAGAATAAAAAGTCAGAGAAAGAGGAGTTTTTTTACCTACTAGAGAGTTTTAAGAAAGGACAGAAACATATATATACTTCCAATGCAAACCATGGAGCACCTGAACATTGGAAAGCTGTTTGAATCACAGGATTCTTTTAGGATTTCTATTGTTGATACCTTGACAAAAAGCCATCAAACTAATTGAGTGCTAAATTAAGGTGACTCAAACTTGAGGAAGTGGCTAATGTTGGAAAAAAAACAAATAATCCAAAAGCAAGCTACTGCTACCATGGACTGTGTATTAACATCAAATTGAAATATTAAAATAATATTTATTGCAGTGACTGAACTCTTCTCCTTATGCACACACATGAAAATGATATGATAGAAGAATGCATAGACTCGTCAGGAGCCTCATCAGCTTCCTGCGCACCCAACCCTCTCTCTTGCCCTACTCACATTCAGCTGTCCTTCAAGCTGCGGGGCGATGAAACGGTGAGCAGAACACGATTAAGCTGTAGATCGGGGAGAAAAAGAATGGATGAAGCCTTACCAGATCTGGTTTGTCACCATTAACAGCGACGAAAGGAAGAAAACCCCCATGGGACTGGGAGCGAGATGAAGCAAGCACAGCTGCACAGGTGTAACACCCCAGGTAAGATAACTCAATAACGATATAGCACACACAATCGAAACCATGCTAGCTCCACAAATTCCATGTGAAAATAAGGACCAGAACTTTAAATGACCTTTACAAATTCTACGTAAAACTTATGCTAAGCAGAAACATGGTCTAAAACTAAATTTCAATAGTGTGCAATAATAATGTGTAGTCCAAGGGTGCTACTCCCACCCCATGCCGATCAATGTCATTAGGTACCTAAAAACCAAATCAAACATAAGAGTGAGTAAAGAATACTTAATAAGTACAATATTGAACTAGTAAAACATACACAGGATTAATGCAATAAGAAACCAATATGAAAGGTTGGAGTTACTTTATTCTAAAACAAAGAAGTCAAAAGATAGTAGTTCCCTCCTGGGCAGGTATGAATATCTTCTTAGCATTGCCGGTAAACCGAGAAAGCGTGATCAATGCTTCTCAAGGATCATGAATAAAGATCTAAATTGCACTCCCATGACTACGCATGGTACTTGAATAACGTAAAAAAAATATCCGGAATAATGAAACATGGATAACGTCGTGAACTTGAACGTGAAGTGAAACATGAATATGTAGCATAATACCAAAACCACACAATTAAAGATAGTAAGTTTTCGAATAATAAGTGGGTAAGTGAACCAAATAAGAAACATAGTTTATACATCACATAAGTCCGTCTTGTACTTGTCTTAACTCCTTCGATAATCCGACTCAACTCCTTCGATAATCCGATTCAACAACTCCAACGTTGGAACCCTCCAGACCTATGGAGCAAAACTACGCATAAACCACTATATCCAACTAATAATAGTTACAAGGAATATTTACTAAAATCGATAACTTAGAACATATAAACTTTTTACCGATTTGTATTAAATAACCTATAGCAGTTCCATTACTGTTTTATGCGTAACCCGCAAACCGTCTAACGGAATCTAGCAAATAATACAACTTCGGACATCTAGGCAAAATTGTATACAACTTTCATGTTGGGCGAAAAATCAGATTATGCCTCTGTAAATCCCAGATTTAGGAAAACGAATTGCTGTCCTGATTTCCGGACCCGGTCAACAGTATTGTTTCTGTTGTTTCTCCTAAACCGTTTATCGGAATCAAGTGAAACCAGCGGCGTTGGAAAGATATCGACGGTGGATACAAACTTTATTTAGGACAACTAATCTGAATCCCGATGATTTAATACCAGATTTAAAAATACGGTTTCAGCCTAGCGTTCGATAAAATAAATTCGAGCTATCGGAAACGGATCGTCCTATAATTAAATTATAAACAACTAGGGACTAGAACAGATTACCTAGCGGTACTAATTTATAAGAAAAATAAAGAATTTGAAAATATCCACCAAATTCCCCAAATTTCCTTTCTTCTAACTTTTCCCCTTCTCTCGATCCTAAATTCCCCAAATTTCCCTTCTTCTAACTTTTCCCCTTCTCTCGATCCTTCCTGTTCTTCTACAGCAACAAGCAGCAGCAACAGTCAGCAGCAGCAGCAACCCTAGCAGCAGCAGTCGCATGGTACTAGTAGCAGCAGCAGCAAGCAAAAATCAGACCGCGGCAGCAACAGCCAGCCGCAGATCACAGCAGCCGCAGCAACAAGCCATCAAATCGGAAACGATAGAAGGAGCAGCAGCAGGAACTCACCGGGAAGAAGCAAAACGGAAAGGAAACACCGATTTTGTGATGGATGACGACGGCTGTGGCCTCCCGCTATGGCCGTGGTGGCGGTGCAAAGACGGCGGCGGCAACCGGAACAACGGTGGCGGCGGCCAGACCGCAGGAGCGGTTAGGGCTGGCTGTAGCGATCCCCCTGCTGTTGGGACCACCTATATATTTGTCGATAAATTTTCTCCTAAAAATTTGACAGATGTAATTATAGTACAATCGTAGTGTAATTATATTGTAACTTATATTTAATTACACTGTAACTCACATATAACTACAGTGTAACTTGTATGTAAGTTTCACTATTACAAGATTTGCTTTGGTGAGGAAGAAAAAAAATCAGAGCACACACATATGTGAAAGGATTTGTCTACACGACCTCTATTTTACCAAAAAAACATGTTACGGAGAGATTTTTGAAAGTTACATTATAGTTACAGTGTAATTACATGTAAGTCACAATGTAATTACACTACGATTGTACTGTAATTACATCTGTCAAATTTTTGGGGAAAAATTTATTGACAAATATATAGCAAAATTGCTGTTTTTTTTCTTTTTTTTTCGTTTTTGTTTTGGTTGGTTATATAAAGAGACTGAAAAGATCTAACGGCCCACATTGTTTTTAATCCCTGGGACTTCGTTCGGACTCCGATTACTAAAAACTTATAATCTATTTTGTACTACTCGGCGAGCTCTACGCATCCACGGTTTCTGATCGCCTATTCGAACAACGGTTTAAAAACTGAAATTTTGCACGTTTGTGCTAATATTCCCCCAAATATACTAATTCGAAACTCGGGGCATTACATTCTTCCCCCTTCAATCGAATTCGCCCAACCATACTCTAGAACACCGGGTATTACAACAGGAGAGGTCAGCGGTGGCGGAGAGACCAAAGGAAGGGAATGGAGTGAGGAGGATGCTGGTTATTATGAGGAGGAAGGGATGCTATGGCCTGTATGGGAGATGGTTGCAGCTTGTATAGTCTTATGGGGAGGATGTAGCGACGGTGCTCGCATGGGAGTAGGCAGAGGCGGTGAAATGCCGTCGGCCTGCCCAAATCTGGCACCCCCGATCGGACGCGCGAACTCATGAGTGCTGCACAGCCGTCACACATTACCGCCGTTGTCGGATGACGTGGCCGCCAGCCCGCCACAGCACTAGCAGCATCCTCAACCCCGAAGCATCCTCAGACCCCTATGCCACCACAAGGAGAGGGAGAAGAAGGGGGAGGGGGCGCCGGCGCGAGGGGGAGGCGGAGACGCGGACTCATCATGCACCTCAGTCTGGTACTCGAACTCCTCGCTGGCCGCCTCCTCCTCCCCGGTGGGCTTCTCGGTGATGGCGGCGTCGCACCTGACCCCGACCAATCTCCCCTTCCCCTTCCTCCTCCCGGCCTCCCACCTCACCCCTCTCACCGACGCCGCTGCTCCCCTACCCTACACCGCAACCGCACTCCGCGGCGTGGGACTTCGCGTCGCCGTGGGGCTCGGTCGTAGCGCCGCCACCGACGACGCCCCTAGGGTCCTGTTCAGCGCTGGCAGTCAGAGGGAGGAGGGGACACGAGCAGTCAGATCCGCGTGCCCCGACCATATGGGGGCCGGATCCAGATGCCGACGGTCGCCAGCGATGACTGCAGCGGCAGTGTAGGTGGAGAAGACGGCGCTAGGGCAAGGCGGAGGCGTAGGCGTAGGCAGTGGCGCTTGGCGGAAGAGGGAGAGGGAGAGGGAGAGGGCGAGACAAAGAGGTAGGAGGAGACGGGCGGCGGTGGCTAGGGTTTTGGGGGGATGGTTAGTGGGTGTTTTTTTGTAAAAAAGCCCCTATACTTCAACATTTTAGAGCGCCATCCCTTCATGATTTTTCTCTTCTTCGCATGGAATATTAGGTTTTTATAAGAGCCTCAATGTAAAATTTCACCTCACAGGTACTATTCCATATGGATCTCAATCGAATTACGCACAAAGTGAATGGCTTCTTCGCAAAAAAAACCACCCCGCGCGCACTGCTCCTATCCTACGTGGCATCGCCCAGCGTCCGCCCAGAGAGCGCCGCTTTTATTTATCGAATATGCAAACGCAGTTTAATTAGTGACAGAGTATTCATCCTTTTGCAGCTCCATTGTCACAGGGAATCTCAAATGCTTGTCTAGCGAGGCTGCTCCTCCTTTATGTACCTGCCGATAGAGTTTGCAGATATGTGTAGAAACTGCCATAATTTTCATCTGATAAACGAGATCAAGAAAATGCCATTGCAGATATGCGAACGCGATGCCGGTTCCACCTATCGAGACTCCTGCTCCGAGCACGTCGTCGTAAGAGCTTCCGGGCTACCTCCACCCCCACCACCTCAAGGAAGAGGACAAGGTGGACAACGAAACAGAAGAGGAGATGCATTACGCCGGATGGGAGGACGACGACGCCGCTGCTCCCCAAGCACCAGCTACCGCAGCTCCAGCCCTCGCCCGCGCCCCGCCACCACCGCTCAGCGCCCGTCCTCCGGCCATCGCCTGCCCGCCGCCAAAGATAGCCAAAGGGGAACAGAAAGGGGAGACCGGGAGAGAGAGATAAAGAGAGATAAAGGATAGAGAGAAAGAAAGAAGAAGACAGAGGATGACATGTGGGCCCCACATGTCAGTGGGTCCCACAAAAATATTTTGTGTGAACAATAAATGGGTTCTACATATATTTTTAAAATTTTAATGCCACATAAGCGCCACGTGGAACGTAGACCAGGTCAATATCGCCATGTAGACGCCACGTCAGCAAAACTGCTCTCAAAACCACCGAGGGAGTCAAATTGCGCCGGTTTTAATAGTTAGAGGGTCGAAATATCTGGTAATGTGGTTCAGAGATACAAATCAGATTTGGTCACTATTTAAGGGAGTCAAAGTAAACTTATTTCTTTGATAAATGAGGGAGTTAAAATAGGCTTATACCAGCCATACAAGGCACGACCCAATGGGAGAGGGATGTCAAATATACTTATTCCAATCATATAATATACGGCCTAAAGAAATATAATTTTTCAAGGAGGAGCACAATAGACTTTTGTGTCTTTAGGCCGGCCTGGCACGGTCCGAGCCTTATTGAGTCGTGTCTGGACCGATGGTGTAGTAAGGAGGCAGACATGGCCCAACACGACGTGTAGGTTGGGTCGTGCCGACCCGATTAATCTTGGGCCGAGCTGACACATTTGACTAACCATATATACTATTATCTATACATTTATCGATAAATAGATAATAATATAATAATAGAGTAACTTACATGTAACTACAATGTGGTAACTAATATATAACTAATATATAACTTTCATCTAATTTTAAAACCATTAGATTTGCTTTAATATTTGTGCAAGCGGAGAAGAAAAAAATTACAACGTGCACATTTTCGAGAGTTACATGCAAGTTATAATGTAACTATATTACAATTACACTATATTTATATCTATCAAATTTCTGAGATAAAATTTGTTGACAAATTATATCAAAACTGATTATAAGTTACTCGTGACAATGTGGATAATTCTTGAACGTTGTATCATATTTATTAAAAAGGGGTATAGCATGTGGTTTTGGTATAACCAGTGCGCAAAATCTAAACAGAAATAATTTTTTATTTTATATAGAAGTAACCTTGTGTTTTTTGATAATGAAATATTCGTTTGATGTAGAAGTAACTTTATTTAGACATAAATAACCTAGTGCTCATTATATCTCACCACGAAGCGTTCTAATATGTACGACATATTAAGTGCTGAGAAACACCCAGGGGTTTTTCGGCTAGCTCCACAAGGTACTGGGCTAGACGATCTGGGTTCGAAGCCTCACCCCTTCTAATTATTTGATATTAGGTACTTCCCTAATATTCGAGTCAACATATTAAGTGCTAGTTAAGTGTTCTAATATGTACGACATTGACCTTTTTTAAATCATATATTGATTTCTTTTATCAGATTTTACAGCTTGCTTACACAGATGTGGCAGTACTTGCTTTAGTGAGCATGTTTTTAGCCTCTTGTAAGTTGTAACTACTGCTCTACAAGTCTTGCTGCACATTAGTTCACTAGAAGACATTCTTTTAGTTCTTCAGGGAAGATAGCTGTAATTTTTTTTTTCATTTTTAGGCATATCAGCTCAGTGTGGAAAAACATTGGATTGCAAGAGAGGGAATGGTGCTTTAATATGAGTAACAGCACAAAGGCAAAGAGAAGGATCAAATGCTAAAGGAAAGAGATGTTGCATTTCAGGAGTCTCATATGTGACGCACTGAGTTAGGGAAGGCTAGAGGAGCAATCGAATGCAATAAGCAGCTATCACACCAGAGCAGATGAAAAGGTAAGAGTACATATGTTCATTGCTCTTCACTATAGTTGTAGTTTTCTGAAATTTACTCAGACAAAACTATCAGTTTGCTGCAACATTAGTGATCTATTTTCGTTTGCTACAATAATAGGAAATTATTACAAACTATAATTTTTACGTGATATGCTGCTATAGTTGTCACATATATGTATTGTAGCAGCATATCATGTAAAAGTTGCAGTTTTGTGATAATTTCTCACGCTATTGTTATAACAAACCGAAATATATCACTAATGTTGCAGCAAACTGATAGCTTTGTCACTATAGTTGCAGTTTTCTGACATTTATTTAGCTATATAACTCAAATAAAAGATAGCGGTGCTTTCACAAACTATGTATGATAAACAGTTTTAGTTGATACCAGCTGCCAAATTTATATTGTTCAACATAGGGATACTTTTTTCAGATGCATTTATTGACTTCAAATTCTGGAACTATATATGGTAAAAGAATTTCAGTGTCATGTTGCTACCTGCCAAATTGACATTATTCATGTAGACAGGGGTTATAATTTTGGTTCAGGTTCATAGGTATGCATTATGCAATTGTATAAGTGATTTAGTAGGATTCGTTGTCATGGTTATTGATGCCTCAACTGATCATTTATTTGCCAATGGTTGCCTCTATACTCGATTCTCATCGTGGTGATACATGAAAGATGTTTGGAGTAGTGCGATTCTTTTCTAACGGTATAATTGTTGGAGGTTAGGAATATTCTTTAGTTGGTTAATACACCTTCTTCTGTCTTCCTCCTACTATGAATATGGGAAATGCTAGAATGACTTACATTGTGAAACGAAGGGAGTATTTTTTATGGGAAAATTGTAACCATGCTATTATAATTTTGTAAAATTTGAGATATGCCATCCTGACCCACATGTCATTGACTCATGTGGATCCTACATGT